GAGGCGTCGGCTGCCTGGGCAGAGGTCCCGACCCCTTCCCCCGGGGGCAGCTTTTCGGCCCCGCCCTGACTTCGGGGGTCCCCAAACGGTGTGGTGACCACACCGTGCGGTGAGTCGGTGGGGATTCGGGGTCACCGCACGGTTTTGGGACTCGGGTCGTTCTCCGGGGACGTCTCGAGCGACAGGGGCCTCTGGGGTCCCAAGACCGTGCGGTGACGGACCGTGCGGTGAGGTCTTGGGGGATTTCGAGGTCACCGCACGGTCTGTCACCGCACCGTTTCGGGACTCCAAATGACTCCAGATCCGCCCTACTTTTTTTTGTTCCAGCTTGAAGTTGCATCGGAAATCCACCCACAAGAGGCCGAACAAGCAGGGCGGAAATTTCTGCACCCAGCATCAAGTAGGGCGGACATCCACAGAAGTAGGGCGGAAACAGCAACAGAAAAGTAGGGCGGAAATTGGCATCAGCGGGGCCTGAAAAGTAAGGCGGAAATTCCAAGCCCTACTTACGAATTTCCCCAAAGTAGGGCGGATCCGGAGTCAGGGCGGCCCAGGAGGACTCGAATGTACCCCTGGACGGTCCAAAAGTCCGCCAAGATTGCCCCAGGATTGCCCAAGATGCCCCAGGGAGGCCTCCAAGATGGCCACAAGATGGCCTCAGGCCGCCCCAAGACAGCCCAAGACACCCCCAGACTGTCATAGCATCCTTTCAAACATCCCCCCGACCCATTTCTGTTGGTCCCGGGGCTGTCAGTGTCGGCGGCGAGCGAGGGTGGGGAGCGAGGAGGAAAAGGCCTTCGCAGGAGGCGGCGGGGCTTTCAGAAGCCCTCGCGCCTTCTGAAACAACGTTTTCTGGTGTCTCTTCGGGGGAGGCGTGGAAGCCTTCTCAGAAGGCTGGGGGACTTCCTCGAGCCTCCTGAGAAGGCCTTCTCCTTCTCTGAAGTCGGGCAGGTCCCTCTACAGGGGGAATATTCATAAACAGTCAAAACATAGTCAGGGGACGATTTTTCGTTTTTTTCGAGTATTGTTGATGTTTCAATCAAAATCCGCCTGTAAGAAGAGGAGGAGGAGGAGGAGGAGGAGGAGGAGGAGGAGGAGGAGGAGGAGGAGGCAGGAGGAGGGAAGTGGCGAGAGAAGAGGAAGAGGAAGAGGAGTCTCCTCTTCTTCTCGCTTTGCTTCTGATGGACTTGTTCGACACCTAATCCTTCTCTCTCCCCGACAGTGACAGGCCAGCCGCCTCCTGCTTCTCCTGCTCCTCCTCCTCCTCCTTCTCCTCTCTCTCTTCTTCGTCCTCCTGCTCCTGCATCTGCTCTCCCTCCTCCTCCTCCCTCTCCTACTCCTCCTCCTCTCCTCCTCCTCCTCCTCCTCCTCCTCCTCCTCCTCCTCCTCGACAAAGCGGGCTCGCCGCCGACAGTGACAGGCCGCAGGGGCCGCGTGTCGAGGTAGGGCGCCCGGGCGGCGGGCCACCGCGTCGCCGGGGCGCTCCTTGGGGGCCTGCGCTACGTCGGGCCTGTCCCCCCCCAGGAGGAAGATTCTCAGGAGGGAAAGGAACACACACAGACACAATTCATGGATCGTCGACCTCCAGGAAAAGATGGGAAGCTATGGGAGGTGGGGGGGGAAGACAAGCACCCAGAAAAGATGGGAACCTATGGGGGATTCTTGTGTTTGTGTGTATCTATTTGTGTGTCCCAGGGGCCCTTCATATTACAATATTCTCTGAAAGTATTTTCTGACCATTTTTGCATATTTGTGACCACTTGTAATTTTTCCTCGAAAATCAGCCTGTAGGGGGACAGAGCCGACCTGAGGCGTGCGGAGCACCCCCGGGCCCCCCGCCGACGCAGGAGCTGACGCGAGCGCTGACCCGGCAGTCCGCCAGCCTGGACGAGGTGCACAGCGCCACGAAGGCCGCGGCGGCCCCCCCGCGCGCGGGCCGGCCACGGCGCAACTTGGACCCGTGGGCGGCCCGGCCGGGGGGCGGCCAAGACGCAAGTCGGGCCTGTCCCTCCACAGGAGAAATATTCAAAAAATCGTAAACAACATAGTTTGGGGACAATTTTTGGATTATTTTTGAACATTTTTTTTGTTCCTTCTTCTTCCTCTTCTTCTTCTTCTTCTTTCAGAATCCTCCTGTGGGGGGACAAGCTCAACCTAAGCCAAAAGGGGGATGATGACTAGGGGGGGGTGGATGTCATGGCGTGGGCCACGACATCTCCCCAGATTTCATGGCGCCTCTTCTCCATCATGTCCTTGCGTCCCTGGATCCCCCCCCCACCTGGGACGCGCACATGCCGCCGGCCATGATCTGCACCCCCCCTCTTGGACGCCCCCCTCTTGGCCGCCCCCGAGGCTGCGGATCCAGAGCTGGTTATCTGTAGCTTCTGCGACGTGCGTATACCTCGATCTGCACACCCCCTCTTGGACGCCCCCCTCTGGGCCGCCCCCGAGACTGCGGACCCAGAGCTGGTTATCTGTAGCTCCCTGCGACGTGCGCATACCTCGGTGCGGGGTTTGGTTTTCGACGAGGCTGCCCGTCTCCCGCAGCGTCGGAGCCCAGAGCGCTCCTCCTCCTCCTCCTTAATGACCTACCTCCCTACTACATCTCATACTAGTACTACTAATCATCTCGTTAATCACTTCACAATCCTCACTCGTCCTACTACCTCCTCCCTCCTCCTCCCCCTCCTCTTTCCTCTCTCCTCCCTCCTCCCTCCTCCCTCCTCCCTCCTCCCTCCTCCTCCTCCTTCCCCGCCTCCTACTCTCCATTCATCATCGTCTCTCTCCTCCCTCCTTCCTCCTCCATCCCTTCTCCCCTCCTCCTCCTCCTCCTCCTCCTCCTCCTCCTGGCTCACTGCCGCGCGCGGCGGCGGCGGCGCGGACTCCTGCGGCGCGGCCTGCGCGGAGCGGCACCGAGGCGAGTGGGCGGCATCGGCGGGAGCGGCAGCCGCAGGCACGTGCAGACCCTCGTGCGCGCGCTTTCGTGGCGGCGCGGCCACGCGCGCGCAGAGCGCGGCGCAGGGCTGGCTGCAGCAGCGGAGCGCGCGCGGCCGGGCCAGATCACGCGGCGTTGGGGACCGGAGGGGGTCACTCGCGCTGGGGTCCGCGAGGGGGGTGGGGGAGAGGGGCAGGGGGGAGAGTGGAGGCACGTGGAGGTGTGCAGTGCAAGAAGCAAGAATGTCCTCCTCCTCCTCCTCCTCCCCTTCCTCTTCCTCCTCTTCCTCCTCCTCCTCCTCCTCCTCCTCCTCCTCCCCCCCTAGCAATCCCCCTATCCCACCCTCCTCCTCCCCCTCCTCCTCCTCCTCCTCCTCCTCCTCCTCCTTCTCCTCCTCCCCCCTCCCCTTTCCCCCCCCTTCCCCTCCCCTCCTCGCGCAGTGCGAGAGTGCAACGACACTCCGAAAGAGGGGGAGAGCAGCAGGCAGACGGTTCGGCAGAGGCGGACGGCGGGATGAAGCGAGCGCCGAAACGGGGCGACAGGACCGTGGCGGGACAGCGGGCGCACGCGCACACGTGTACTCTGCACCATGTTGCGCGATTCCGCTTTGCCTCGAACTGCGGAGGGCATCTGCTGCACAACTGTGCACTGGTTCTATTGGCGTTCATGAGGGCTGCGAGGCAGCATTTGACTGGAGGGTTCCAAAGGGGGTTTTTGGTGAGGGTTTTCCAGAGAGCCCCCTGGGGGCCTCGGAACCTTGTCAAAACAGGGGGTGCGGAGCCCCGGGGGACCCCTCCTGGAAAACCCCCTCCCCAGAACCCCCCTCTGGAATCCTGCAGGTTGATGCACAGACGAGCCCATGAGGATCATCATGTTGACGGTAAGAGTGCTCGCGCGCGTCGACGCGGGAATTCCGAGACAGAAGGCGTGGTGGTCGCGCGGCGCCGGGCGCGCCAGCGAAAGACGCAGGCTGCGGGGGAGGTCGGCGAGCAGCGCGCGGCAGCAGGCGCCGCGGCCTTCGGCTCGGGGCGGCGGGGCCTCGGCAGCAGCCGCCCCAGAGCTTCGCCGTGAGCCCGCAGAGCGCACGTCGCCGCCAGCACTCGGTATCGTTTAACCGATCCCCATCCCCGTCTCTATCCCCTTCGAGACCCCCACCAAATTACCACCCCAGCTGGGGATATACCCCTCGAAACCCGAGGAGAACGACCCAAACGATGCTCGAGCACTCGGGGCGAGCTGGGCAGGCAGTGCGGAGCCTGCGCGAGCAGCGGTCGGGCCGCGCGCACGCGCGCACGCCCGTGCACGCGCGCGCACAGCTGTCCTCCTCCTCCTCCTCCTCCTCCTCCTCCTCCTCCTCCTCCTCCCCCTCTACTCCTCCTTCTCCTCCTCCTCCCCCTCCTCCTCCTCCTCCTCCTCCTCCTTCTCCTCCTCCTTCTCCTCCTCGTCGTCGCGGTCGCGCCGCGCAGCGGCGCGGCGGAGTCGGGCCAACGGCCGAGTGATGGCGGCGCGCGCGGGCGCCCAGCGCAGAAGCAGCGGGGCGAGCCGGGCCCGCCCTCCGCGCGCGCACGCGCTCGGGAGTGGCGTGGGACGTTTGTGTCGTCGAACGGCCGGCTCGTTCCCCCCCGCTCCCTTCCCCTCGCCTGCCACACGACCTGAAGAGCTGTGTACACATGGAGGTGCGTTCACACCCTGGCATCTACACATGGAAGGGTCTCGCTGGCCAACGCCCCCTCCGACTGGCGCGGAGGCGGAGGCGGAGGCGGAGGCGGAGGCGGAGGCGGAGGAGGAGGAGGAGGAGGAGGAGGAGGAGGCGGAGGAGGAGGAGGAGGAGGAGGAGGAGGAGGCGGAGGAGGAGGAGGAGGAGGCGGAGGAG